CAATTAATAATGATATATAAAGTATTCAACAAATATAGAAATACCTGAACATCCTGCCACATGAGGTTCTTCTCGGTTTCCTCAACATCATCCCAAGATGGAGTAGTAATCGGAACATGGTGTCGAGCTAGTAGTCCCAAATAGCTCTTAAACTTAGCGACATTTGGGTCGGATGCCTTACCGAACATGGATCAACTTCAACTTGAGTTTTCTCTCTAGCTACCCTCCTTCTTGTCAACCCCTTTAACCGAGTGACGGATCTACCTTTATCACCACTTCCGCTCCACCACTGCCACTTACCACTACCGAGTACCAGTTGTGGAATCGACATATCCCGAAAAACAAAACAATATGAAGTCAACATACTTTATAAGTTTGAATAAAAAGAACTAGAAAATGTGAAGATAAACACCTATTATGTTGGTATGTTTTCCCATATCCCTTCATCATGATCACTTCGAATTGCATGTATGTCATCAACTTCATTGTCAACTATGTCATCAAATGGTCTACTTGAAAATGAAGGTGTTTCATGTATATCTAGAGACTCATCTTCATGAATTCCGTGCATGCTTCTTCCTTCTAGGACAATTGACCATCTCTCATTACATGGATCCTTGACATAAAATATTTGTCTCGCTTGATATGCCAAAATAAAAGGTTCATCCTTATACCCAACTTTACTCAAATCAACCAAAGTAAATCCTAGGTCATCCGTTCGCACACCAGTATTCCCTTCAACCCATTTACACTTGAAGACAGGCACCCTAAAAGTAACATAATCAATTTCCCATATCTCTTGTATGACCCCAAAATAACTCATAGAAGGCTGTGATAGGATTTTTGTCTTTAGAACTAGAAAAATGCATAGATTCGAGCTTGAATTGTGACCCCATTATTTTGTACTCTACCTTTATCATCTTCTATTTTTGAGTAGAAACAATAGTTATTAATGTCATACCCACCAAATGTAATGACATCACTATTAGGCCCACGAGCAAGTCTCAAAAGTGTTTACGAAGCATTAATCTCAACATATACCCTTTTTTAAACCAAGAAAGGAAACTTTTGTTATGTTCATTCAATACCCATTTTTCATTCATTCGTGGATGTGTTGCCTTTATTTCAGTTATGTGTTGTGATATGTAAGGGATTACTTCATCAGTGTTATTCAATATGTATAAATGTGTTTGGTCAACTTCTTTCCGACTAACATTTTTAATCTTCAAATTTCGAGTACCCTTACCTTCACATCTTCCATCATGTCTCATCTTAGGAATACCTATTGGTTCTGATTTTGACATGTATCCTTGACAAAACTCAATGGCTTCTTCTGCAATGTACCTTTCCACAATAGAAGCTTCTGGCCTGTACTGATTCTTCACATATCCTTGTAAGATCTTCATGTATCTCTCAACAGGATACATCCATCTAAGAAAAATTGGACCACATAATCGAATTTCCCTTACCAAATGAACTATCAAATGCACCATGATATCAAAAAATGAAGGGGGAAAATACATTTCTAATTGGCACACTATTACAATTGCTTCATTTTCTAATTCATCTAACTTTTTTGGATCAATCACCTTTTTACAAATGGCATTGAAAAACAAACATAACCGAGTAATAGCAATTCTAACAGAAGTTGGTAAGATGTTTCGAATCGCCACTGGTAAAAGTTGTTGCATCAACACATGACAATCATGAGACTTTAAACCAACTAATTTCAACTCTTGCATAGACACAAGACTCTTAACATTTGAGGAGTATCCTTGTGGCACTTTGACCTCATGTAAACACTCACAAAAGCTTCTCTTTTCTTTCTTTGATAGAGTATGACAAGCTGGAGGTAAGTAAGTGCGTTTTCCAACTGATTGTGGATGTAATTTAGAACGTATACCCATGTCTGCCAAATCTTGTCTTGCTTTTATTCCATCTTTTGTCTTTCCTTTTATGTTAAGCAATGTCCCAATTATACTATCACAAACATTTTTTTCAACATGCATCACATCTATACAGTGTCTAACTTCCAACTTACACCAATAAGGAAGATTGAAGAATATAGATTGTTTCTTCCAAATGTTTTTCTCATTGGATTTCTTTTGGGTCTTTCCAAACACAATATTAATATTTTTCACTTGCTCATATACTTGTTCACCATTGCGGGATACTGATGCAACTGCATTCTCCTGACATCCATTAAATGCTTTTTTCATTTTACGATATGGATGATTAGCAACTAGAAACTTTCTATGCCTATTGTATGCAGTTTTTTGTCCATGTTTCAATTGGATATAACTTGTGTCTTCTTGACATATAGGACACGCTAAATGACCTTTCACACTATAACCGCTCAAATTACCATATGCTGGAAAATTATTTATAGTACAAAATAACATTGCACGCAACCTGAAATTCACTTCGTGATATGAATCAAATACATCCACTCCTGTTTCCCACAACATTTTCAAATCATCAATTAAAGGACTAAGATATACATCTATGTCATTTTCTGGTTGTCAAGGTCCTGAAATCATCATAGATAACATCATATATTTTCTCTTCATGCATAACCAAGGAGGCAAATTGTAAATGATCAACATAACTGGCCATGAACTATGTTTACTACTTAAATTTTCATAAGGATTCATCCCATCTGTAGCTAATCCAATTCTCAAGTTTCTTGGCTCTGCACCAAATTCTGGAAAGGTTTCATCAATCCTTTTCCATTGTGGAGAATTAGTTGGATGTCGAAGAAGATTGTCACATTTTCTACCATTTGCATGCCATGTCAAGTTTCTTGCATCTTCTTTTATGGCAAATAATCTTTTAAACCTAGGTATAATTGGCAAATACCATAACACCTTAGCAGGGGGACCATCTAGTTCTTCCTCACCACTACTTTCCTCAACTTTGTTTTTGAACCTCGACAAACCACATGTCGGACACATCTTTAATTTAGCAAAATCATTTCTGTACAATATACAATCATTAGGACATGCATGTATTTTCTTGTACTCTAAACCCATTGGACATAATATCTTCTTTGTCTCATAGTTACGAATAGGTAATGTATTATCTTCAAGAAGCATCTCCTTCAACAACTCCAATAATTCGGTGAAACTTTTATCAGTCCATCCATTTCTTGCTTTTAAAGTAAACAATTTTAAAGTTGCTGATAATCTTGTAAAACTACATCCTATGTACAATTGTTGCGCAAAATCAAATTTCAAAGAATCATATAGATGTGCTTTCATAAAATTTTCTTCACCAATATCACGTATCATATCCTCTAGATTATCATCCATCCCTTCATCAAAATTGTCCGTAGTTGACACAGTTGGGATGTCTAATATTTCTCCATGCCATGTCCATATTGTATAACTCTTAATAATACCATAAACAAACAAGTGATCACGTATATCCTCAAGTTTATGACGAATTTGATTCAAACAACGAACACATGGACAATAATATGTCCCTTTCATAGCTTTTCCATTTTCACTAGCAAATTTCAAAAATTCCTCAACTCCCTTTTCGTACTCTTCACTAATACGACGTGCATTCATCCAACTTCGATTCATATTATGTTATAAAGTTTCGTCACTCCTAGAGATTTAAAAATTATATGTAAAAAAAAATTAATATACAAATAACAAAGCACGTTCCAACAACAATGGAGTGTGTAAACCGAATGCACTCAAACAAATAAACAAATAATCACATTCCAATAACAATCCAGTGGAGACATTCATACTATAACGTGATTGAGATCCCCAAAAACAATCACGGATTCAATGTAAACATATAGCAATGACATAGAACACTAACCTCGAGTGTAGACGAAAACTGATTTCAAACTCGAATCCAATCGGGGAGAAAGATCAAGTTCGTCAAATGACACGATAATGTAGATGCTTTTCACTGTAAAACTGCTCGAAAATGGTGTGCAGAGGTAGTTGTTGTCGTCGTTCTCGTCGTCGTTCTCAAAAACCCTGATTGCACGAGACGAGGAAGTGGGTCTGGAGGGAAATAAAATAGGGAGGCGCGACGTAAAAGAGACTTTTTACGTCGCGTGATGGGATGTGCGACGTAAAATTTTTGTCCCATATTTACAAAATTGCCACTGCGTTTTTTTTAATCGAATATACATGCATGCGACGACAATTGGGTGACGTAAAAGCCCTATTCTGCACTAGTGCGCACCAAAGTTCCTTAATTACATAGTTTTATTTTCAAAGTAATTACATAGTCTTAATTACGTAACAAATAACATTTTTTTAACAGAAATTTTGAAAGTAGATTTTCTCAAACATTAAGTCTGCATCTTGTATTATCGATAAATACGATTTTTTTTATAATGACTCTACAGACAAATATCTTTGAATCAATAAATTTTGTTCTATAAATTAAAAAAAAACAATTTTAAATAAAAAATATTTTTTCTTCTTAAATATGTATATTTATAAATGTAACACATAATTAAAAAAATAGATAAAAAATATATAATCAATTAATAAAAAAATTATTTAAATATTTGAAATAAATAATAATAATAATAATATAATTTAAATTTTAAATTAATTTCCAACAAATAAAGATTTGATGGATCTCTAATTAGCTAAGAACTGTTATAAAAAGTATCAATTAATTAGCATCTCGATCAAGAAATCATTATATGATTCAAGGACGGAATGGAATGCTATAAAGATTGACTTTTACTCATTTGTAATGCATGATCATTCTCACTTTCTTCAACGGTTAAGGGATTACAGGTTACACACCTCTTAATGTTTAAAATTATTTATTTTGGTCATTCATCATCAACGTGTATTCCCTGTCAGATGTTTACAGTGAAGCTAGAACTACTTGCTGGTTATCAACAAGACTTCACTCAAACAGTGTAAAATATGATACAAATTCTTTTTTGACATAAAAAAAAAACTTAGGCTAGAATCTGAGCATGACAAGAGTAAAAAATTACTATTAAATTGGACTCATTCGACTTCCAGGATCTCATCCAAAGCATAGTTGTTTGTTGATACATTGGCGTAGTTGACTTTGTTGAATCGAACCACAACAGGGTAGCGAGTCTTGGGGTCCTGCATGCACGACAAGCACAGACCAATAAAACATGAATTGGGTTTGCTTAATGCATGGAATATATTTGATAGGGAATTATTGCCTTGGAGTGAGTTCAGGGGCACTAACCTGATCAACTGCAACCACTGAACCAGTTCCTTTGTACCAGTAGGATTCCTTCCTAAGAATCTTCACCTGTTGATTTCAAAGGAAAATTAGAAACCAACCCTCTTGCTACACACCTACTTCAATACAAATTTCAGCTTTCACACTATTTAATTAATAACACTGTCCAATGAAGAAAACTAGCAAGTTTTCTTCAATTTTTTCCTACATTTTCACAGAGAAAGGCTAACATTGTTATATTCTTTTCAATGTATCTTTTATTGACTGAAACTTTCTTGATCTCACTTTTCACCCAGCAATTCTCCTCTCACTATCTAACTATATATATATATATATATATATATATATATATATATATATATATATATATATATATATATATTGTAACAATTATAGCCATGGATACAATACAGAAGCTTAATTAAAGTTGAACCAGAAATCAAGTTGTTATTGTTTACTATTAAAGGGAAAATACTAATCAATGTTAAAATACTAATTAAAGAATGCTTTAATACTTTTCATTTTATTTCTTATAAACATACCAGTTAGACCTTATTATACAAATAGTTGATGAGGAAGCAACATGAAGATAAGAGCACATGTTTATAATTATAAACATTTTCTGATACCAATTCTATAGTGGGGTGCTAGAATATATATATATATATATATATATATATATATATATATATATATATATATAACAGTAAAGAAATAATGATCAAGTCGAGTCCATCAACTGATAGAGGTGATTCTGCAGTAAATGAGCAAGGACCATACTGAAAAGTTGAGTTCTGTGGCACCTCACCTTAGCACCTCTCTTTGGACCAATTGGTGGTGGCTTTGGCTTTGCTTCACCTTCAGCTGGAGGGGTGGCTGTTGCAGGTGCCGACGCTGCAGCCTCATCTGAAGCCCTTACAACAAGCCTAGAACCACCATTGTTCTTTGTGGGGAACATAACCCTAGAAGATAATGAGTTTGTGGTGGCAGCTGCAACATTAAGAGACAACACAAACCCAGATGCTGCTGATGCCATGTTGGTGCTAGCCATGAGAAGATGATTTCCTCTCTCTTTTTGTGTGTTGTGTGCCTTAGATTCTCTCTCTTTCTGATCTTAAGAGGCAAAGGACAAGGCAACACAAGCACTGGGAGGCTTTGAATGAAGAAGCACGTTTAGTTTGGTGATCTATCTGATCCCCAGAAGTGTGCATCAATCGTATCCACCACTAGGGTGATGCCACTTGTGCGCCATATCTCATTCCATTGGATAATGTTATTAAAAACTCTTCCTTCACTAAGTATTCCCTGGAATCAATCCTTCAAAACAAATGTTGCTAATGAAAACTGTATGATTATTATACATCGATTTATTGTATGAATTTTCTTTTTTCAATCCTCAAAAATACTCAATTGAAATTGTTCTTATAGGATTCTACAATTTAAGCTATAATGTATAAAGTCTATAAAATATATATTATTATTGATATTAAAATATACATAAACTAACTATCATTTTCCATACATTCATAATTTTAGTTTTTTTTATTATTATTTTGAAGAAGACTAAACATGTAATTGATTTAATGTAATTTAATTATTAATCAAAATATTAATATACATTAATAAAATATAATAAATAAAACATTTTTTAAATTTAAAAAAAAAACAAATTTTAAAAAATATTTTAACAAAATAGTTATCAAAACCAGTTTTTCAATTCCTAAAAATTATAAAGTTAAAAATATTTTTAAAAATAATTGCCAAACAAACACTAATATAAATGATCACGCGTTAATTACATAGATTTGTCGTCTTCTATTATTTCATATTATCCCATAGAAAATAAATTAGGGGTTTAAATATAGATCAATCAGTATTATTTAGAGAGGTTAGATATAAATTTTAAATGTAGTGCTATACAAATTAAGTTGAAAAAGTGATATTTATAGGTGTGGTATAAATTAAAAATATTTTTTTTAAATATCACATATACTTAATTCATTTTAATATCGATGTTATAATTTTTTTTATATCTGATATAAAATTCTCATATTTTTAACGTTCTAATGACAATTACATTGAAAGATAAGATTAAAATATTTAATAACATAATTATGTTTAGTTAATTATATCACTTGTTTACATCTTTTAAAAGAAGTACTATATACATATTTTTACATAAATTGAAATATAAAGATTTTTCTTCTCTCCTTTAACCACTTAAATCTGGTCATATATAATTTAGTAATAAAATTATTCTCATCAAATCAACACATCACACAAACTATAACAAGTTAGTAATAAAATTATTCATTTATATAATTTCACAAAATATTCTCAATGCTCACAAATTAAATAAATTAATCAAACACCACATTTACATAATAAATCAAGTATCTAATCCTCGGGTCATCATACATTAACATTTAAAATCACATACACTTACATTAACATTTAAAATCACATACACTTGATTTTATTTTTGGAAACTCATATGCATTGAATTTTAGACTAAAAAATTTACACGTATCATTCTCAAGTAGATATCTTCAACATAGGTACATAATTGGAATAAGTTTTTTTTTTTCTGTGACAAGGTAAATTCATATGACTTATTAGATACAACTTTTTTTCACACCACAAATTAAGCCATAAAGACTTCCTTCAACTCTTACTACTTTTCTATATATAAGTTTAGTATTAGTAAAGTTAGGACATCTCTTTCAAAATCTCAAATTAAATATATCACTTACATCTCAATATAATATTTTCTCCTTAAAAGCTATTATTTAACTTTTATCAATCTTGTATAAATATAACATTTATATAACTTTTATGTATATATTAGCTCTCAACACACATTGTTTCATATTTAATACATATATTATAATATCCTAACTTATGTACATATCATTTCTCACATTATAGTTAAAATAATTTTTTCTACAAATATCTTTTTTAGTTAATGCTTATTTTATTGGATTCGTTATTTTTTGTTCAAATAGAAAACTTTTAGTAAATTTTGCTTGAGCAAAAATTTTCTTGAACGAAACTCGCTTTTGCTTGCTTGAAAATTTATTAGTTTGAGTAAATTTCTTAGAAAGTAAAATTCTACTTATACAAAATTTCAATTAACAAACAATATTTGTAAAATAGTCAAAATTCATCTTTATTCTAAAAAATCACATACAAGAGTCAATACCCATATACAAAATCTTAGCCCAAATTTATAGAAAAATTTTAAAACTTGGCAAACAAATACTTATTTTATTTAAGATTCTCTTCATATGAAAAATCCATCCCTAGAAGTATAATAATGTCCTTATCTAAAAAAATAAAAATCAGGGAAAAAAGTTTTAGAGAAAAATAAGAGATTTTAAAATTTAGAAAAATAATAATTCTTTAAAAAAAAGTTTAAAACAAAAACGTTTAGTTAAACCTTTAACTTTTATCTTATTTAATCATTATTCTCTTTAAATTAGTAAAGATTTTATACTTACACTTTTTATATCAATAACTCCGTACAATTTATGTGAAAAAGTTCACTTTTAGTAGTGTATTTTAACTTATTTTATCGATACAAGTTTGAATTAATAAAAATAAATATTTTAGTAAATTACTTTACCAAATTTATTTACTTTATAATTATTTAAAAAAAAATAACCCACAAAAAGTAATACTATTTTAAGGCATTAATTTTTAATTCAATAAAAAAAAACTTGTATGTCACAGTGAATAATGAGAAACTAAGAAAAAAAAAAAGTAAATCGCAATATATTAATTAATATTTTTATTATTTGGTGTTTTTTTCATGAACGAACCCTATCGAAGTTTTTTGAATATATATATATATATATATATATATATATATATATATATATATATATATATATATATATATAAAAGTAAAAGAGACTTAAAATACAAACGCTGGTAAAAATAAAAAATAAAAGTTAAAATAAATAGTCATGGTATCTCATCAAATTTAATGAATCTAACTATTATTAATAAAAATTTTAATTATTTACATCAATATTACTTGGTATTATTTTAATAAATTAACATTCATTTTAAACTAAAAGATGATGCAAAATATTAGATATTTAAATACTATAATAAAAATTAAAAGATTATAATATTATATATATTTTAAAATAATACTTTTGGAAATAATTTATAATTTATTTAAATATAGTTAGATTTATTTTTTAACCATTTATTATATATATATGAGAGAGAAGAAATATAAGATTCACTTAATCTATTTTTCTTCATCACCGTTTATTAACGTGTAAGATGAATTATTATTTTAATTATATTACTAAAAAATAATGGGAATGATGAAAAATGAAGTCTTTAAATTATTTGTTTGAAAGGAGAGAGTGAAAAGTAATTGGTATATAAAAATTTGAAAGGGAAGAGTGAAAAGTGATTTGTATATAAAAATGAAAAAAAAATTATTAGTTAATAAGGAAAGATAAAAAAAATACAACTTTGTTAATCGTAGATATATTTTCTTTCCATTCATATATGAGAAAAAATAATTAAAAATGTTAAGAAAATATTATTTTAAAATATTTATTTTGATGATTTAATATATATATATATATATCACTATTTTAATAAAATATTATAAATAGAAAAATTAAAACTATACTATATGTATTTTTTTAGTGTAATATTATTGTATTAACTAAATTTAAATATTTTTAAAAAATATAATTTTATAATTATATATCAAAATATATTATTAAAAATATATATTAATTTAAAGGTATTAATTTGACACATTATATTATTAAAAATATTATTAATTTTAATTAAATTATTAAAAAATTAAAAAATTAAAATATTAATTTTAATTAAATTATTTATTATTTTAAAAAAATTCTATCAATAAAATAAGTTTTATTTTATCTCATTTTTTTCTAGCATCTTCTCTTTTTACTACGAGATATATTCTAATTAAATTGAATATAGTTTCAATCAATTTTACTTTTGAGGTTAGAGAACTCTTTATATATCATATGTATATATATATATATATATATATATATATATATATATATATATATATATATATATATAATATTATGATTTATAAAATAAAAAATAATATAAGAAAATCAATTATTATCCTTTATATATTTAAAAATTAATAAGTAAAAAAACGTGAACATTTTTAATATATATATATATATATATATATATATATATATGTATATAATAAAAATGAAAAAAAAATTGGCCATGTATTTTTATTAGTATAAATAAATGCAATAAATTGAATTTTAAATTAAATTTTTAAATATTGATATATTTTTACTTTTTTTACTTCAACATTATGTTAATTATTGTTGTATAGTAGTAGAAAAAATTCCGTCCATATTTATTGTATAGTAGTAGAAAAGTATTTAATATAATTAAAAAAATAAATATTATATTATTATTTTTTATTTTATTTTCTATAAATAATTGTATGGTTATTTTTTTTTTCAGTACAGTAAAATAATTAATTAAAAAATATGTTCCACATTTAAGTTATCTTAACTTCTTTTAATATATGTTAAATTTATATTAAGAAGGGAAAAACAAAATATGCACACACTAGGAACGGTGAATCACGTGCCGTTTGGCGCCAAATCCAGTGTCCAATTCTGTGTTTTTTCTTCTCACTGGGAGTAGCGATCGTGTTGCACAGCGAACGATTGGTTCCGTGTAGTTTACGAACATTGCAATGAGTAAGAGGAAAAATTCTCAAACCAAAGGTTTTTTTCTTCTCTCTTTTCACGTTTTTGGATTTGCTTCTCCTCATTCGTTATTAGTTTTCACACCTTACGATTGCAATGAATACCTAACGATTTGTTCTCTACGAACGATGCGTTTTGCTCCACATTCTCATGGTTGTGTGTTGTACAATAGGTTACGACATTCGAGTTTTGTTACCTTACCTTGCACATCGTCATAATAATAGTTAGAATTAAGTAATTTTGTTTAATTTAGGATTTGGAATTCAAGTGCAGAGACAGATCCAAAAACTTCTGAGTTTGCTTTCTTTAAGAAATTGAAGAAGGATGCAAGCGAGGGATTTCATTCACGTTCACTGCAAAAGGATGCTCGCCTATCATCTCAGAAGCCAGAATCCACGGACTATTCCAGAGGTTGGTTGAATTTCCTTAAACGAAAATTGTCTCTGTTACTCTAGTCGGATTCTAAGGAATAGAATTTAAGTTTAACATGTTTGTGAAAATCCGTGGACTAATCAGAAATCATTTTCAATGTGAGTTTTGATGAGCTTGTTGTAAAATTCAATAAATTTATTTTACATGACTTTATACTATACCATGCATATGTTATTTTATTTATTCATTGAATTTTGGAAAATTATAAAATGGATTTTCTTTTTTACTTTTATAGAAATAATATACTTGCAGTCAGTTATGATGAAATGTTTAACGGTTTTGCATTGAATTAATATGAAAAGGTTTTATTTCATCTATGAAGGGGGGAAAGTTTTATTCCTGCTAATTTATAAATTAGCATTATTAGGAATTTTGTTTATTGTCAAAAAGTATTTTTATCGTTTTTATAAAACATGAGAATTGTTTTTTCTCCTATAATATAACTTTTCTTAACCATGTTAAATTGCTCCTTATGGTAAAGCCATGTTAATTTAATTAGGTTGAGGAATTTCTTATTTCTATGTAAGACATTGAACTAATATTCTTTCTCTTACGACTCTGAAAGTTGAATATTTCCCCTAGGTTTGAAGACATAGACATTGTACATATGCCATCTTTTGTTACAATAATTGTCATCGTGTTTATCTAAGATTTAAATATATTTACCCTAGGTTCTCATAGAATACTAAGCTTTAGTTTTAATCTCTCTAAAATTTGGATTTAGGTTTGAATCCCTATAATTTTTTTATATTAGTGCTTTGATCCCTGTCATTGTCATTCATCTGTTAAACAATGATACTTCACTAAACAATGAGTTGGGAATTCGTTTTATATGTTTGTAGTTAATAAGTCTATAATAACAACCGTGACCCAAAGTGTTCGCTTCTAAAACACAAAGCACATAACTAAAACTCAAATTTTAGAGGAACTACAACGAAAGCTTCAATCATCTATAGAGATTAAAAACGTATTTAAATATTTTATTTTATGTATATGCAGAGAAGACTGGTGATGTCCGGATTGGAAGTAATGGCCACAACTCTTCAAGGATAACTGAGCATGTATCAACTGTGACAGGCTCATTTTTCTCACCTTCCGTAAAAGGTTGGAATAAATCAGGTGTGTATTGGAGGAAAATTCCACAACATTCTAGTCACAACGATACACTGATATTTAGGATCATGATGCTCACAATGACGATAATTAGGAAGGTGATACTTGCAACTTGTAAAGAGATGTTCTTCGGGCATTTTTATTTTTATAACTGGCACATGTTGTTCACAATCACCTTTGCTTATCTTCAACTCTCCACTCGTATTCGGTTGTTAAGTTAGCATCATGTGGCATTTTTATTTTTCTGACTGGAACATGTTAAGACATGAATTAAAATACAAAGTTTACCATCCTATTAGGTGAATCAGGAGGACTGTAGCCATTATGTACTCCAAAAAGTTGAAATGTTGGGAAATTTTTTTCTCCCGCTATAATTCCATTATTTTAAATTCCTGCTAATCAACAATTTGTTCCCAAAGATCTTTTTACCGGTGGTAATGCAGGCTTGTACTCCATCAGCAACACGCCAAAAGACTCCCGAGATTATAGTGACAAATTTAAACCCCAGCGAAAATTTTCACATGAAGGTTTGATTTTCTGAATTTGGATAGCTTGGGTGAAAGGTATTTGCAGGGGACAATAATGTGTAGGACAGTTTGAACATTTATGGTTTATATTTCTGGTCATCAAATGGAGTCAAGCCTTTACTGGGTGCCACTGATTTGTTAATTAACCTTCAGATGGTCAAATTTTTTATTTTAAGAAAAATGTATGTAATTTAACTGAAGACGTGCAATTTACTTCCATATTTGAGAATTTGACACAGCTTGTGTAAAACAATTACTTTGTGTCAAAACTTCAGATCAGTATGCCCATGGAGAAGTTTTTGCTAGAAAGAGACAAAAATTACGACAGTGTATTGCAGATGTCTTATTTACAGACACAGAAAAGCTCAGTTCAAAAGGGTTAGGCACACTTTGATATTGATATTAATTGTCCTTTCCCTTTATCATGAATATAATAGGAATTTTCAGGGACGATATTACATCCATGCTTCTTAGTCGGCTGTTCCCTACGAGCACTGAAGAAAATGTATGGTTTTTTAGCCATTTCTCATGCTATATATCCATCCAGTGACTTGCATTCCCTTGACAAAAATTATTTCTGTGCCAGAAATACGAGGATACACATCCAGCAAAAGGAGCGAATGGTACAAGATATGATTTACCTGATTCGCCAGAGTCAGATGATCAATTTAAGGAGCAATATCAGATACCTGAAAGGAAACTTATTGAATTCGAATCAAGCCCATACTTCAGCGATCATGTGTTGTCTCCTACGTTTGTCAGACTAGATGAGAGAATTAATCTGCACACGAAGTTTTCAACTTATCAGCCTCACAATTTTCCACCTCTTTACAGAATAACAGAACCTGAGTGCAAACTAAGTGCAACTCCAAGTTTCGGTGTCACAACCAAGGGTGATGTAATTCTTGAATCTCTGCTTAACGAAGCAGCAAATGCTACCAGATATGGTTTACATGATTCTCGGGAGTTAGATGTCCAATTTGCAGAACACCATCAGATACCTAAGAGGAAATCTCTTGAACTTGAATCAAGTTCATCTTTCAGTGATCATTTGCTGTCTCCTGTGTTTCTTCGATCAATTGAGATGATTAACCCACATGCCGACTTTCAAACTTGTCCACTCAACTTTCAACCTCTGCTCAGCATGACAGAAGCTAGAAGCAATTTTGGTGGAACTCCAAGTTTCATTGACAAGAGTGATGCAACTCGAGGATTTCTGAGTAATAATCAAGATCATAATCAAGATCATGAAATCTTTACACTGAATCATTTCAAAGAGTTGGGGATAGTAGAGAAAGAACCGGTTCCTCTGCTTACGGAAAAAGATTTTGACTATAGTGCAAATGCGACAAATTTACCTATCACTTGTAAATACACAAAGCCAAAAATGGTCTCTCAATTATCAATTTTAGGCCACCGTGAAGAACAGATATTACACAATACATTAGATAAATACCACTTTAGTCCCTCATCCTCGCTACTCGACAAGTCACAGGACTTCAATTCAATATTGGATTCTGGTGTCTTAAGATATCAGGAGTTGAAGTTCGGAAAATATGTCTATGAAGACATGGAATCAAATTTTAACCATACAGCACTGTCTTTGTCACACAATAAGCACAACTTTAATGTTTCTGAGAATTACAGGAATGACACGTCATGTGATCAAGACAGCATGATCCTTTCACCATACCAGCATTGGGTTGGAAGGACAGTTTCCAGTGCCTACCATCATTATCCTAATCCGGAAGCCTGGCTTTCATCTTCACTTGATGAATGTCAGAGGAGCTTATCTCTAACTAGTTCCCATTTAAATTACCGAAGTTCAAGTTCAAGAACTTTACAATTGCCACAAAAGGAAAGTATGTCTTCTCCTTTTCACATGAATGATAATTACGAGCCAGAAATGAATGGTGAAAATCACGGGGAAGTGCTTTATCATTTTAGGAAAAGCTTGATTGAAATATATAACTCTTCTTTTCTTCATATGCCCATGCAAAGAAACAATGGATGGCCATTTCCTTTGGATGGCGGTGAGTGACTATGCCAAGAGCAAAAGCAAACGCAGAAGCTGCTCCTTTGGAGTCTAACACTCCAGAATGTTTCATCAAACGTTACCCTGCATGCTTTTGGTTAATTTCGGACTGTTATGCCATGTGTATGCAAAATTACGTCTCCATCAAACGTCACCTTTTGGTGGAAATTAGTGTTGTTACTACTATGCTTGATCTTTGACAATTCGAAGCATTAAAAGAACTATTGCTTACACTTTTAATTGCACGAGTATCTAATGTGATTGTAAAATTTTGACATATTCAAAGAACTTTCCCGTGATTCACCAGAAAAAAGTAGTACGATTTTTTTGGCATTTATCATGTCTGTAATGCATAGTTAAAAATATTGAAAGTGTGTAACAAATTTGTGCAGCTCACATTTATAACCGACTTACCTGCCTCTATAATTTATCGAAGGGATTACAAAGTTACTTAGTGACTATTTTACAAATCCTTACGTTAAGCAACCCGCAAACTTGAATTCAAAATTATCTCTAGCTTCTTTCTCTTGCATTCTTTGGAGTGGTCTTTATGCCACTCCAGATTTCAACTTGGTTACGCACTTCTGCTCTACTGTATGGTGTTGGTGAAGGCCTACATCAACGTCTCCGAACCACACGCCCCACGCCACCGTGTGGGGGTATAGGCACATGAAAAAAGTTGATACTATCATTGTTTGCTTTTCTAATTTTCCACAAAGTCCACATTATAAGTGAGATTTATACTTAGTTTTTGTTTTGTTTGCTATTCTAATAAAAGGGTCATTTTCAGTTGCATGTGCAACTTGTACGTCACTCATAAATAGAAAACGATATCTGACCTGTTCAGTATTTTTTTACCCAAGATTAAAGGCTACCCTATGAGACAAATGCTTTGTTTTCACTGGCCTATAAATCCCGAAGTTTTGTGTACCCTTTGTCGCATTAAAGGTGAGATCAATCAAATCATTATTATGAAGTCAACCTAACAGAATGTAGAAAATTTTGTGGTCTCAACAGATATGGCTTTTCCCCCCTTTTTATTGTTTGTATGCCTGTCCTTTTATTTTTACTCCGTTATGGCAACGCTCTTTGAGATTATCCCCTTTTGCGTGTGATACATCTTTTTGATAATCACCAATTTTAAAAAATATTAAGATAACATCTCAATGGATTCCCTACTATTGAGTCGAGTACTGACCTCGTAAATTGATCCAAAAATGAAATATGTTTTCAAGGGGTTTTTTATTCTATATATCAACTGATGACACATTTAATATTTATGTTATCTTTCCTTACCAACTTCATTTGGTCAATATTTGGAAGAATCAATTATTTTTATTACACTCGAACTTTTTAGTTATTTGCTTATATAAGTGTAACTACTTGCGTGTTTTTTTTAGACTTCTTAATTTTGTCTCAAACATGCACATTTGATCATGTGATTTAAATTCCACTGGAAACAAGCTGAGAATTTATTTGTAATAAATCAGTAGTAGTTTGATGAGAGCGTTTATGGATGGAGGATATTTAGTACAGAACTAGGCAAGGGAGAGAGAAAGAAAGAGGTAGGACAACAAACTCACATCTCTTCACCTTGCCCATCCTTTTGCTTCTTTGATATACACTTGTCCCTCACTTTCTTGGTGATCTGTATGGAGATTTCTCTAAATTGTCTATAGTTTTTGTTTCTTTCCAAGTCGTGTGGAATAGTTGCCCTTAAGATTTCTGTAATTGAAGTTTTTCTCTGCTATTATATTATTCCCATACATCACCATACATTCTGCCTATTTGTCTTGCAGCTTCATCACTTTCAACAAGTCAATCACATGGTGGTTGTGGGATAGATGAGCCACTAAAGTAAATGGAGCACCCATCAAGATGCAGATGCTCATAGCAAAAGAAATGTCCAAACAAAAAGACTCCAAGCACAACCTACCAAATGTAGTAGCAAAACTAATGGGGCTTGAAACCCTTCCAAGGGGAGAGCCAAATTATTCTATGGAAAGAAACTACAGAAGTGATTTTTCTCAACAAATGCACGGTCCAGTAGACTTACCATTCAGGCATTGGCAGCAAGAAGGTATGTTTATGGATAGGGAAATGCTTCATGAAGTTCATCCAAGCACAGAACAGATTGCTTACAAAGATATGTATGAAATACGGGAGCAATCTCAGAGAGTAAGTCATGTAAGTGGCAAGGTACCAGCTAGTGGAAGATGGAGTGAAGAAGTTGATGGGAAAAGAATGGCTCTCATTCGTCAGAAATTCATGGAAGCAAAATATCTGTCAACCGATGAGAGACTGCGCAAATCTAAACAATTTGAAGATGCCTTGGAAGTTCTAAGTTCCAACAGTGATCTCTTAATGAGGTTATTGGATTCTCAAAATGTTTATGAATTTTACTCAACTCCACCCACTGATACAAAGCGCATCACTCTCATTAAACCTTTAAAGATGGTTGACAATGACAAACCAGCCAGAAAGGAGAAAAGGAATAATAGGCTAATTACGAAATCAGCAAGTGTTGATCAAGCAGCTGGATGGGAGAACAAGAATTCTGAAGACTCTCCAGATAGTCAAAAAGTTTATGAATCTCCAGTTCGAACCACTCGAATAGTGTTACTAAAGCCTAGCCCTGGTAGGACACCTGAGCAAAAGAATGTGGTTTCTCCAACAACATCCCCACTAAATCTGAGAAGTGGAAATTGCCGTCAGGGACCTGAATATGATGATGTACTAGAGTCCATTAGAGTGGCAAAAGAGATAACACAGCAAATGCATATAGGCCTGAGGACATATCAAAAGGATAAAACTCCACTTCGTTCTTCAGTGTTTTCCAATGGCTACTCTGATGATCAGAGTTCCTTCGACAAATACCTCGAGTATGCATCAGAAAATTTCAGTGATTTGGAAACTATGTCAATGTCACCGTTGCCAAGGCTTTCATGGGATTACAATTACATCAATGGCTTTAGCAGTCCTTATTCTACAATGTCCTTGGGTCGCGTGTCTTGCTCTCCAGAGTCATCCGTGTGCAGAGAGGCAAAGAAAAGACTTTCTGAAAGATGGACTATGATGACATCAGATACTAAGGGTCATCAAGAACAGAGGAATGTAAGGAGAAACTCTACCTTAGGTGAGATGCTTTCTCTTACCCACATGAAATCTGTAACATCTGTGGTTGAGAGTATTAATGAGGACCAAGAACCCGGGAAATCTGTTTCTTTCAGTCATTCTTTCAATGCAGAAACACGCATTGAGGGCTCTCCCAAAAATCTTCCTAGGTCAAATTCTGTGCCTGCATCTTCTACTGTCAATGAAACTGGGCTCACATTTGTGGCTGGTGATCAAAATACTGGCAACGCACAAGTCTCCAAGGCAAGGACAAAGTCAAGGAGTATGAGATCATCATTTAAAGAAAAAGTAGCCAGTTTCTTGTTCTCAAAGAGTAAGAAATCAACCAAGGAAAAACCAAGTCCATCTCAATCTAAAGATGAATCCCAATCCGCTCCTACTATCACTGAAACATTAGTTCTTCCAAAAAATGCACCTGAAGTCCCTATGAATGATGTGTCTCAAATCATCAATGTCGATGGTTTGGAAGAGTGTTCACTTGCAGCTCTATGTGAATCATCAGAAAAAACTTCAACAGTCTCTAACAGAGAAGAAGACATGATTACACTAGAGGTAATGGCTACTATTATTCTGCAAATTTCATCATTTCTTTCTATTTCATAATGCAAATTTTATTTTGTCTATGGATATTTAGGATATGTTAGGAATTTTCTAGGATAATATAAGAATATGGAAATATACACCAAAAAAGCGGAATTTACTTCATAGCATTTTGGGAACTTTGCATGCTAATTGTTGTTTTAACCTTTATTTATTACGGCCTTGTGGGATATCACCAAAAACGCAGAATTAATTATAAGATATGATCCACAGGAATTTTTGTGCCATCTCTTCCAAACTTATGAGATTAGTATATCCTTGAAAGTTCTCCTGCTGCACAGATATTTTAATCTAGGCTGCATGTTGCAGCATGATAAGGGAATTGAATGAGCATGGTCGTCGCAAGTTTTGTGCACGCAAACTAATTTTCCTCTAAAATTGTTGCGATTCATATGTTGGAATGGTGAAATACATTAAATATGGAAAAAAACCGAAATTACTGTCATTAATATGCTTGGGTACAGGTTGATAATCAATTGAAATAACTCTTCTTAGTCAGCCTCGACTACAACCTCTCATCTAGATGAGAATATTGATATGATAAATTAAATGCGTATATCCTAGTACCATATTGTATATAATTATATGAAATCCTTGGTGTTTTTCACAGCCTGGATTGACAGTGCCAAGGTCCACGGTGCCAGAGATTAATTCAAGCGAAAGCTCAGATCAGCCAAGTCCACTCTCAGTATTACAACCTCCATTTGAAGATTATAATAATAATAATAACAAAAACAACAACAATGGATCTCATGAGTCCTTGGACTTTATGAAGAGTGATCAACTAGGTAATAATGTTTAAGCCTTTCTTCTTTCTTTATTAGTTATAGTTCTTGCTATATATAAATACATGGACCTTATCTTAATTATTGTTAATTGTTTTGTCATTACCTGAAGCTGAAGAATAGCTTTTAAAAACACTTCCATTTAAATGAGAGTTCAGATTCATAACCATATCTTAAATATTAATTACTATACTTCTATTATTACCTGAGTCCCATTTGTTCTACATGTATAGCATCACAGGTGCAGCTGAAGTCCAATTTAATTGACAAATCGCCGCCTATAGAATCAATAGCCAGGACCCTATCATGGGATGATTCTTCTGCAGAAGTGGCAAGCCCCTATCTATTAAAACCCTTAATGGTTTCTTCCTTGGACTCCAAGGTAGAGGAACAAGAGTGGCTTCTCTTGGTCCACAAACTACTATCAGCAGCTGGAATTGATGAGCAGAAGCAATATGACTCGTTTTACACCAGATGGCATTCCCTTGAAAGCCCATTGGACCCATCATTGAGGGATACATTATATGCCAATCTAAATGAGAAGGAGCCTCAGCCAATGCATGAGGGCAGAAGAAGAAAGATGAGATCGAATCATAAACTTGTGTTTGACTATGTCAATGCTGCACTATTGGAACTTGTTGGTTATCGGTCAGAGAAGTTCCTAAAGGGCAGTGGGAGCCACTGCAGGGTCCTAGTCCAAGAGGGTGCACCGGCATCTCCCTTGTTGGTGGACCACATTGTGGCCCAGATGAAGGAATTAATAGCAAGTGGCGTGAGGTGTGAGTGGGACAGCAACAGCCTGGCGATAGAAAATATTGTCAGAAAAGAGATTGTGCAGATAGGGTGGGTTGAGCTAATGGAATTGGAGATAGAAATTTTGGGAAAGGAGATAGAGGGGGACTTGATTCAAGAGCTTGTGGAGAATGCAGTGGTTGATTTTACAGGCAGGGCCTGAGTCCCTCTCGATCCTTTCTGCTTTTAATTTTCAAATTAAATATATATTGTTGTAAGTTTATTGTGGTTGGATTTGATCATCCACACTTCCCTACTTAACTAATTTATTAAATTATGGTACCAATAAATTTTTAGTTATTTGACATTGATGACTTCGAAATTTATATGTTTAATTACCTAAAAAAAGAATATAAAGAATAACACTAGTTACAAAGAACATAAATATATAACATTGACACAACTCACAAGTCACTATCTGTCTGTGTTGGTACTAGTTCGGCCATAACTGTGACGCTATAACAGTTCCATCGGTACAGTTGGTATAATACATGCATAATGCATCCACCGAAATCACAATCTGTAGTCCTCTAGTAACATGTTGCTAGCTACCATTAAACCATGTCGAAGAGTGGATTAATTGGAATCACTTCTCACAGCACACGATGACTTCTCATAAAAACTATTAAATAAAACGTTATCAGAGCATATTATATTTCCCTAACCAGTTCGAGCAATTGTCTTCGGGAAGATAATGAGAAGTTGAACTAGTTTAATTCCGAAGGATATATGTTTACTCTTATTTTCCAGCCACGACTCAGATTCTCTTATCACACATGGAGTGTCGACTAAGTTTGTGGTCCAAAATATAAACTCTTTCATGGATAAAAATATGACAATTTTTTATGAGATGAAACAAGTGCAAACTCAGCCAGAATCCATAAAAACATTTGAAAATAATCATATAATAGTTTTATAAATAATAAAGAGATAGAGGTGGTCAATGTAACCTTTTGTGTAAGTACTCTGAGCTCAGAAAATTTTCATGCTTTGGACTGGATCATCATCCCCTCCTAAATTTTTTCATTTACCAAAAAGATGCGGTCAACTGGGTTTATTTGTTCACATAAATCGTGGAAAGATACTTTAGATTACACCGGCGAGAGCCATGAGAGGTACTAATCTTTGCAATCTGATGGTGCTGAAGCCTGAAAGTAGAGCAAGGGGACAAAGACAGACAATTTTTTCAAGTGGATAAAAGGTCGAGAATATTCCCCAATGACCATTTGATGTGAAATTTCTATTCAAACTAGACGACAATTATGGTATCTACAACTTAAAAATTGAAGCACTACTCAAGTCCCGTGACAGCACCGTGGACCACGTTCCACGAGACAAGCTTCCAAAATTATTAAGAATAGATCAGTAACTCCAGTTTAAGAGGGTACAATTTCTCATCACTTGTCATTTTTCTATAAAAACAAAAACAGATGAGAAAGAGTGTTATGATACGTACTGTGTAGAGTAGAAACGCTTTTGTTTATTCTTGCTTTTTTGTAAAAATAAAATAAAATCTGCAGTTCTCTCCAGGAACATATTCAACAAAGCTTGTCATGGTCGATTCAACCAAAATACTCATACGATCTCACCTAATCCAATAATCAACAGAGTCCTGCAGTAGTCAGAAACGGTCACATGGATAATTTCTAATGCATACAATTGAGGAATATAATATTAATCACTCTCCCTTGTATCCGTAAATTAATAAATAAATAAATAAATAAATAAAAACTCTTTAATGTGATACAAAATTAGTACGAATCAAGTGCTAATAAGAAGGGCATATCTTTTTACTCTTCACAAACATGTAAGTCGTTACCAACATTTGTCATACGTGAATACAAACTGCCCTGGTTGACTGAAACTTTGCTCTATAAATTTATACCCTTTAATTAACATCATGACATACCTGTACAACTAGTCTTTTTCTTATTCTAAAATTAATGACAAAATAAAACAAAGAAGAAAAAAATATCAAGTGTGCGATCGAGCGATTAAGTACCACAAGGATACCGAAAATTTACCCTCCGACTTCACTTGACGAGTCATGTTTAACTGCTCAAAGATATTCGTTTTCCATACTTCACTATTTAAACCCACCAATTAAGCTTTTAAAATTGTATACAAAAATGTGATATAAACAAAAAATTGAATGCCGATACATGCGAGGCGTATGTTTCACGTGCTCCATATATCCTACGTAAAGAGCTGATTGCGTAGCCATTGAGCAATATCAATAGCTATTTTCTGTCATACAGACTGCACTATCAGAACAGCATTGAGGAAGATGCTTACATTGGGTCCTTTGTATTGTAGCTTTGTTTTTCATTTTTCTCTTATGCTACGCTATTTAAGTACAAGACTCTTGAACTTCAAGCAATAGATGATTTAGTTTACAACACATATACTACCACTATATTGCTTATATCATAATTTTTCCTGAAAAAAAATGAAAGTAAAACATTAGAACCAGAGATATACATATGTACGCAAATGTCGACAGCATTGAATTTCTTGATGGCTAGTAGTGGTCATTGCCTGAAATTCATGGTTGGCAGCTGCTCTTATCACCATGGTTCAATCCGTACTGCAAACATGAAATAATAATTCTTACATTACTAGTGTAAAAAGACATTAATATGACAGGCATGCACAACGGTAGTCTTTTTAATTGAATAGTACACATAGCTATTTCTCAAACTAAATATGAAGGTGAGAAGAAAAGAGACTACATTCACTAAATGATCAACAAACATGCACTTGAGAAAGTCTGAAAAACAAGTTGGAAAACCATAAATCTATCGAATTTTATCCTTAGAACGAAATGCTTAAAATGAAGAAACAGTTTATCTTCAGCCCATGTAATTAACACAGGTCTAAAGTTTCTAAACCCAGGCCGAAATAAAAAGGAAAAACTACTGATATGTGCGACAACACACTTACATATCCTTTCTGTTTCTAACAGTTTAATTAAAAGTAGTTTAAGGCAATTACAATAGACAATACTGAAAACGTAATTTTTCTAAGCTGGTATGAATGTTTTGTGCATGACTGTGCCTAACTATGACACAGCCAGAGTATTCACCAGTGTTTAGCATCCAATTAATATAGAAAAATAAAACTAGAAATCTAAAACCAAATTACTATATATTAATATTGAAATTAAGGAACATTCCATAAATAATATGTACAAATGCAAAAGAGAAAATAAATAAAATAGAGAAAAAATGGAACTTTTTAGTAGTTGACAGTTTTTGATAAAAGCTCAGCCTCTCTTTTGACCAATCACGTTACTTTTCCTATGATTGAAAGACATAAATTACATTAAAAGTTATAAAAGAGATAACGCTTAAGAATTAAAGACCAGCATACCTTCTCTCTCATCCGTGAGCTCCAAATATCCGAGTGATTTCCTCTATTGTCACCTTTGCTAGACCCAGATGGTTGGCCAGATTGAGGATTCAGTAGAGGCTCCCAATTTCTACCCCTAGCATCATATTCATCCTCATAATCAAAATCAGCTGTCCGAGTAGAAACTGTGGCTCGCAAAATTAATGCCAGTAGTAGAGATAATGCCTGAGGTTGACAACAAGAAAATTGAGCAAATGCACTAGAGGAAGAATGGAACAAAAGAAAATTCAGAAAATGCTTTACATTTATCCAGCATGGTTGTTATTTAGTTTGTTACATTTTTTATTGATACAATTTTCATGACAATACAAGCAAAATTCTGGAAATTCAAAACTTATGATTATTGAAATCTCAGATTGTCTATATAACAAGCAAATCACAGACATGAAATATGCTAGGCACAGTTTGGGGTAGAATTTTGTCCTGTTTCAACCTTAATGAAGTAAACAGATCAGCATATTTTTTACCAGGCTCTGCTTCACACACTCTCAGCATCTATCAACAGAGCATTCAAATGTAAAATCAAAAGCAGAAGCTACTGTCCCAAGTCCAAGTAATGCGTGTACAGACTGAAAGCGCAAACAGCCTCCCAACTCAAGGAAGGGACAACAAGAGATAAAGATAAACAAATTTTCTAGGGAGAAGTATCTGCACATATTAATAGCCCATTTACTTATGCCTAAGCATGTATGGTCATTGGATGCCTTTTTACCCTCTTTTTATAATAACTAGAATTTGTTACTTAGGGTAAAAAAATCATCATAACAAAAAAATCATGTTTATTTTATTTATAAATTGCAGTTGCTTAATTAAAAGTATAAATAATTAAAATAAATTATTTTATTTATTACTCCCTCTGTCTGATATTTTAGTTTTTTAATGTCTCAAATTATGTCATTTTAAAAAATTAAGAAAATATTAATTATTTTTTCAACACCACCCTCTTACACTAATATCTCACCTAAATACTCAAGTAGATTGACAACTACATTTAATAAGGACATCTTTTGTCTGAAAAAGATTATGTATAACAGCAATTCGTGGTATTTAGTGAAATAAATAATTTTCTCAAAGAGTATGTATTAACCTGTTAAAAACAAAATACAGTACGTAGCAATATTAGAGAGAAAGGGAGTAATTCGTTATAAATGTTCTGTTGTGAATGCTAGTATACTTTGGAAAAATAAATGATGAAATAGAACGTGTACCTAAACTAAAATGTTACTTAGAAAGAACTCATAAATCCATCACCGTCTCTCTCATACTCACATCAATACTACCAATGATTCTTTTATAATAAGAACTTGTTGGAAAGTTTGTCTTTGTCTTTTTTACAAGACTACCTCCAAATTGTCTGTTGCTTTGATTTTCTTTTACAAAAATACTCTTAAGCGGAGATTCATTGATTAATTAATTAGGTAAAAAGAGATTAAGAAATTGGAACCCGTTAGTTTTACAAGTTGCTGACACATTTAATACCACCACTAAACTAACCAAATTCCTAAATTCTTATGAATTAAAAGAGTAGTGTATATAAAATCAGTAGTATATCATACAAAAAAATGCTTGCACTTTAAACATGCTAGTATGTAAATAACGTAAAACCCCACCCATATCTGATCTCTAATGGACATCGACAAATAACTATAGGTGCATGTCTGAATTGGCTTATCTTTATCTTAAATTTGAAAAAAAAAAACTTGCAATTAAAAAGAAAAGAGACTTTTCAACTAAAATAGCAATGCTTTGGTAATGAGGATTCATTACCTTATTTGGAACATTCAGAAAAATGCATTACGAGTAATTCATGAATTTCAAAGGACATATTGGATTACCACATAAAATTAACGAACAGAACTTTAGAATGCAACCAAAGTAATAACCAAAGCAATAGTTTGGAGAACATAATATTAACATATAGTCTGGAAAAATAGCAATAATTCAAAGTTCTAAAACCAAATTCAATACATTACTTATCTTTCCAACATTAACTTTTTGTTACATATAATTACTGAAACCAACTTACCCAGAGGCTACCTCGATTGACGGCATTCTAGAGTATAATGTTCTACAAAGTTAATAACGACTCTGATTCCATGACTCTAGTGAACAGAGTGAATGATAACCTTAAGTCAGAGCTGTATTAGCATGCATGTCCAGTTCCTAATACAATTGAAGTTAATGAACTAAAAATAACAAGTGGATGGTGCTACATCAAATTCTCCAATATGAAATAACAATTTAGATGCTTAAACAAAAGGAGACTGACTTTTAAATGATACAAGTTATAGAGGATTCCAAAAATTTTCAAGTGCTAATGAAGAAATATCAACTTCAGATAATAATACATGTTGAACATCAACATCAACAGACTTGAACTCTGAAAAATGGACTAGTAGACTATAATTCATTAATCAATGAGAGATCAAGAAAAAAAATACCAGATACTAACACGAAAACAGATACAGTAAAGAATATACCTGAACCACAAGCACAGCAATGCCAACCCAAGTACAGATATCTAGATTATCTTCAATGAAAGTTCGAAGCTCGTCAAGTTTACCGGTTGGATCAAGTGGAATATCCTGCAAAGACAACAACTAACTTTATAGGCCTCAAAAGAGGAGGGACACAAATGTGAACTAGTGCAACCATGTCTACAAATAAGGTAGGGGAACAAGAAAGTAAGAACCTTTTCCCAATCACTATCAAGTGCAATGAATCCCACCAGAGAACCTTCCATCAGAAGAAGTACCATGATGAGTAGAGTGTACTAGCATTTTTCAGAGGGTCAAGGAATGAAAAGCAAAAATAACTTTTAAAAGTTAAATTCAAAAGTAAAGTAAAGTAAAAAGCTACTACTTCAAAGCACTCAACAGAAGTTCTACTCTCGTAACAGAAGCTCAATAGATTTTCAGCCAAAAAGTTTTGAAAAACAGTACCCAACCGCGGTTTCGGCCACCTAGTCTGCCATTTCCAGAGATATGAAAAAAAAGCACGACAAAAATGTGACAAAAAATGAGATCGCAATTTAAAAACTAGAGCTACCAACCTACTACTTGGAAATAAACATTCAAACTTTGATTGGGATACAAAACACAAGCAGCAACCATTAATCATTTCAGCTGCAATGCAACCCAACAAAGAAATGCATAACACCAATATTCCCACTCCCAAGAAGGCGTAAATAAACCTGTCAAAAAAAGAAAAGAAAAAAAAGGTTAGCATTAGAAAGGAACAACAGCGAATAACCGTCTAAATCTAATCCTAAGCATTTCACCATAGCTATTGCAATCTCATCATAATCAAACAAAATTAAATTAAAAAAATAATAAAACAGTAAAAAAAAACAAAATAAGATAAAGATGAATTTTCCTTTAAAGTATTAATTCCCGACGCAAAAGTAGTTGAAAGCATGTAATTTAATAATACAGTTGACAGCACCCAAATCAGAAGGAGTTCATTAATTAGCAGAAACAGTGAGAATAAAAAAGAATAGTGGTAGCAGAAGTACCAAGGAGCGGGTAGAATGATGGAATAGAAATTGAGATAGAAATCGAAGGCGTGAGGGAGGGGAGGGGGAGGAAGATGGTGCTCCCATTCATTGAACATCCATATTGAATAGAGCAAAATGGAAAGGCCAACGAAGGATTGAAGGAAATTGAGGAATTTGAGAACGAAAGCAAGCGAAACGTGGCAGAAATTGAAACGCATCGTATTGTTAGGGTTCTTTCTTTGCCTGCGAGCTGATTTGAGGATTATCACTGAATTTGTTTATTGGAAATTCCGACCACCACACCACATTATCAGATCTCCTCCACCGCACTTTGCTTTCCACTACTTTTTAGTTTTATTTCATTATTTTATTTTACTTAAAACTAAGATCAACAATGATATCCTTATTATTAAAACTTCTAGAAAAAAACTTGAATTTTTTTTAGATACAGTATTATACATTTTAATAATAGCTTTTAATTATATTTATAAAAATATACAATAGATTCATTTGTAATTTTTTTTATCATCACTCCATATTTTATTTATCATAATCTTTTATAATTATTTTTTTATTTTCTTTAATATAACTAATAAAACTAATAAAAAATTACCCTTTTCTTAAAACACTCTTAATTATACATTTATTAATTGTAAACGTGATATTCATATTTTTTTTATATAATTAATTTTTTTTAAAATATTATTTTAATTTTTTTTATTTTAATTACTTTTTAAATATATTTTTTTATTAAATATTATATTTCTCTCATTCTCATATTTTCATTATTTTTTTAAAATATATTGACACTAATAGTTCATTACAGATGACTTTTAATATTTTGATTTTTCATAAAAAAACATTTAATAGTTTTCGTTTAATGAATTTTATTGATTATCTATTATTATCGTGGTAATAATATTATAAATATGAGCATTTTTCTAAAAAAATTCATGTTTTTTAATATAGTGAATTGTGTTTGAATATATGGAGTTTGATGAATCAATCTCACAAATAATACTCTTAGAAAAAAAAATACTTAGACTAAAATTTTTTAAATTTATTTACTTAAATAGACTTATTTATTATTTATAGATAAATTAATAAATAAAAATAAATTTGTCTTATATAACATAATTAGAGAAAACCGAGTGTCTCTTCTCTTTCGTGAAAAAAAAATATCTCTCTCTATAGCTCACCTCCACCTTCTCTCTTGCCGATCATGACCTTCTTCTTTTCTGATTAAAAATTCGAGGCTACGTTGTGCTCACAGAAGAGAACAACAAAAAAACTCACCAATTAGAATTTTGCTTCGGTAAGTTTGAACTTTAGGGTTTTTGTGAATTAAAATTTGGGGTTTTGAGAATTTAAGAAATTATTTGTAGAATTAAAAGGTTTCCTCTTACTCTATCACTCCTCAATTTCATGTTCTTGAGGTTAATTTTGTTTCTAGCTTCGATCTTGTTTTTAGGGTTTTCCAAATTAGGGGAGAACGGTACTCCTTAGGTGTTTTGGCGTTTATAAGACTTTGTTAGAGTTAGGTTGACGTGTAGTATCACTCATAGGTAAGGGTAGCTTATTTGATTTTTACTTGTACTGAAACTTTAGATTTTGTTAATCCTTGCATTGATGGTGAGTGGGGATTTTAGAATTTGAAGTGAAACATGAAATATAGTTGTTTTAGATATAAATTAAGAGTTGGTGTTGTCTTGATAAGCTAGTTGGATGGTGCTTAAAACTGATTTAGTAAGGTATATGGTTAAGTGAGTATAATAGTTTATTTTCCTTACTGGCTGTATTGTATTGATGAAAAATTAAATTAAGTGAATAATGAGTATGCTTGATATATATATATATATATATATATATATATATATATATATATATATATATATATAAGTGTTGTATGTGATATAATATTATGAGCACTTATGGAAAACCTTGTTGTATAAATTGTTTTGAAATAGATTGGTTGAAATAGATATCTTTGTATCATTGAGTTTCTAAATGTATGGTTGGTCTATGTTGGTTTGAAGGAGAAATGATGTACCATTTTAAGTGAATTGTGATTACATAGGAGTTGAAAATTTTAATGTTGGGCTAGACATTGTGAATTGCATAATATTGGTTTGATTCTGGAAATTCTGAGTTGTACTAGTTGTGTTCTGCTGAAATACTGCATTTGCATAATCTGACTCTTCAGGGTGTAATCGATTACAGTAATGTGGTAATCGATTACTGACGAGGGAATTAGAAATCCAATTTCTCTCTAATAATCGATTACCAGACCAGTTGTAATTGATTACACTAATAGCAGATCACCCACAGTTAGTTTATTGATGTTTTGTTACATCCTTTGACTATTCTATGCTGAATATGAGTTAATAATGAAATGTGAAGGACACTAAGACCTGATAATGTGAGAATACAAGTTGTAAGACCTAAAGAAAAACTATGATAGTTGTTGAATGATAGACTTGATGTACTGTGTAGAATAGTGTGTATGGAATTATGAATATGAGTAATAAGGCATCCAGATTTCCAAGATGTTCTTAGTCATATAGACGAAGACATCTGTGGTGGGAAGTCGATGGAGACACAACATAACGTCAATTCTGCATGTGTTGCTCTGATGAGAGGTTGAAAAATGATATTATAGGCCTGAGACCATAAAAATTTAAGGGTCAGGGACCCCAAATATTCCTCATCAGGTGTCTTCCTTATTGGTCTGAATTTCATATAGTTTTCCGGAGAGCATCAGTCTTTTTGTGTGGTTGTGATTGTAGGATGTTGTTAAGTGGTAAAAAGTTGATATAATTATGCTTTTAATTGTTATGAAATCACTTAACTTTGTCAATTCTAATCTATTTTTCTCTTAATGTAGGATGAATTCGAGAATACCTTGATACAAGAGTAAGGAGCATAATTATCAACATAATTAAAGCAAAAACTGAAAGGAGAAAGAAGATTTTCAACATGGAAGTCGCTCGAGCGAGATAGACTCTCGCTTGAGCAAAAATTAGTTAAAACTCTCTGGAATTCATTCGCTCAAGCGCCATTATTTTCGTTTGAGCGAAAATTAGTTAAACTTCTCTGGAACTCACTCGCTCAAGCGAGCACCTTTTCGCTTGAATGAACAGTTTTGCTTGAGCAAAAGACGCGAGGCCCAAATTCTCCTATAAAAAGATAAGATGTGTTTGAGAAAAGGGGCAGAGGTTTTGAGGGAGGAGGCACGACTACTGCTAAGGTTTCATCCAATCTTCGTCAATTTTTCACTTCTTTCTCATTTGGAGCATTGTGATGGCCACCATGAGTGGCTAACTTCATTCTCTTGGGATTGGGTGCACTTCTTTTTAACTATTTTGTATCTTTGTGATATTTTGAGATATTAATATATGTTTTGATGTTGTTATTCTTATCTTTTGTACCTTAGAATGAATTATTCTTAATGTTTGGGATATGATTGAAAAATATATCTTAAACCCTAGATCATGATAAGAATATTTGTTACGTTAATTGCCAGGAATGGAATGAATGTATCAATTGCTTAACACCCTAAACCTATTGCTGGAAAATCTCTTAATTGTGTGCGAAATCAACATTTATTAGGTTTTCTTATGAATTTCATGTGTAAGAAATCAACATGGATGATTTGAGTAGGTGGCATCAACATTGTTAGGTTAATTAATGTTCTTAATTGGACATAGCAATTGCAAAAGAGGGAAAAGAAAGGAAGTTAATCTTAAGTGTCTTTAATTGATATTTTCTAAACAATTTACAGTTCTTTGTCATTTAATTTCAATTCAACTCTTTATGCAAAACCCATTTTGTTTTAATCCACTTAATAAGCATATAATTAAGAATTCCATTGAAACCATTCCTCGTGGGATCGACTTTTATTTAATCGAAATACTATACTGCGATTGATAATTTTGGTACGCTTGTCAATAATTCAACAAGTATTTCTGGCGCCGTTGTCGGGGAACAGCGTTCCTTGGGAATTCTTTATTTAGCTTCTTAAGTATTTTATTTTTATTTCTGTTTTTGTTTTATTTTTTAGTTTTATTTTGCTTAAGTATTGTCATGTGTTAATTTTTGCTTGAGTTACTCTTTGATTTATGTATTTAAGAGGACATATATCATCAGAGAAGTTAAAATTTAATCCAAAGATTGAAAAACCCGCTCGGAGGAACCGTGGTAAAAGAAGAAGAGAAACTCAAGAACAAACCACAGGAGAATCAGTTAACACTTCTTCCACACTCAATTTACAAGACTCAATCATAGAAGACATGGCGGAGGAATGAGCAAATCCAAATCCACCTAGAAGAACACTCAGAAATTATGTTATGCAGCAAGGTCCGAGACACTTCTCCAGCATTGCAATACCAGCCAACCAAACATTGGAGATGAAGTCAACTTTCTTAAGCTTGATTAGTGCTCATCAATTCACTGGATTGGATCACGAAGATCCATATATTCACTTGTCTACTTTTTATGAGTTGATTGGTACCATGGGATTTAGAGAAGCATATATTGAATCTGCATACTTGAGATTATTTCCTTTTTCTTTGGCTGGCAGGGCAAAGGAGTGGTTGAAGGCACATCCTAATCAGAGTTTTACTAACTAGGGTAATGTAGAAGAGAAGTTCCTGAACAGATTTTTTTCACCATCCCGCTATATCAAAGCAAAATTCGACATCTCTTCTTTCAGACAAGGAGCAGATGAACATTTTTGTAAAGCATGGGAGAAATTTAAATCAGTGTTGAGAAAATGCCCAAATCATGGATTTGATGCATTGCTCAGTTGAATATTTTTTATACTGGTCTATGACCTGATACAAAGATGTTATTAGACACTGGAGCAGGAGAATCCATGCTGGATGTAGACATCAAACATGCCACAAGAATTATTGATGCGCTAGCTTCTACAGACCAACAGGTCCAACATGATAGACATCTAATTGAGAAGAAAGGAGTACTTGAACTTAGTACCTCAGATGCTCTCTTAGCCCAGAATAAACTTATAACCCAACATATTAAAGGATTGAACCAGAAAATAGAGAAACTCTCTCAACAAATGCATGCAGTACAATCAACTCCTAACCAACAGATGAGTTGTGACTTTTGTGGAGGTGATCATCCAAATGGACATTGCTCTTACCAAGGCAACCTACAACAAGAAGAAGTTAATTATATGGGTGCTCAAGGTAGTAGTGGT